GGTCTAGCCTAGTGCGCACGGCCAGAATAATCGGAATCGAAACCTATAAAATTCAAGGGAAGACTTAGCGGAGGGGCAACGATAGACCATTCACATTTCACAAGCAAGTCAACGTTCTATCGTTAAAAATAATAAATTTATTATTATTATTATTATTATAAATACATAAGATAATATTTTTTATTTATTAAAAAATAATTTTTTAATAATAATGACCTGCTAGCATTAGTAGCTCTCCCATTAATCTCAATTATAATTTGTAATTTTCATGTTTTATTTCATCCCTTATTATAAACAATTTTAGTTTCGCCACTAATAAAACCCTAAGACCCTATATAAAATTAAAAAAAAAAAATTCAACAGATTGACAAAGTAGACCATTGACAAGGCGCAAGTCATTTGAGAGAGCGGGACCTGCTCAAATTAGACTAGGGTGCGCAAAACAATGTACTGATTAGAATATCTCCAAAAAAATAAGTCAAAAAGATTAACGTAAGGTGCAAATGGTATTCAAGATGATGACTGAATAAATCAGCCAAACTTAAAGCTAATTGGAACGAGATTGAGATTATGCAATAAAACTCGATATAATTATAGAATAAGTTAATTTTTTAAGTCGGGTTGAGATTATAATTCAAACAAGCGATGCTCCGTACACATTATTTTTTGAATTAAAAAGTTATAAAAATTCTTGACTTATTAATTAATAATACTTTATGCCTAACATGATAATTTTCCTATTTATATTGCTTGGAAATATATAGCGTAAAATTCTATACTTTTAATCTTTTACTTATAAAATTTAATAACATAACTATGTACAATGTTTAGATATATCAATTTTGCCTAATTTTTTTTTGTCTAAATTTTATGTTAGCCCAATCTTAATCCAATCATTAATCACGCAACGACTGAAAAAAATTGCCCTGATTAAATGTTCAGGATTAATTTAAGCTAATCTTCTTGGCATTATATGTAAAGCGTCTATTCAATCCAAAATTTAAACTCCTATAATATAAAACTCTATAATATTTAATTATTTTATTAGTATCTTTCCATTGAAAAAAGGAGTAATATATATGATCTTAATCTTTACATATCAGGGATTTTTTAAGATTTACAATATATAACAGCATTTTTATAAGAATCATTTATATATATATATATATATATATATATATATATATATATATATATATATATATATATATATGGGCTTATTATTTCTCAAGCTGCTTGAGATAATGTTATCTCCGGCTAATCATAACCGTACAAAGATGGATCAATGGTGATAAAGGAAGAGAGAGAAAAATGGAATCATAACCATTCAAAGGTGAATCAATTAATATAAGGAAATAAATAAATAAAACGACGTAGTTTTGGAGTGACCGAAGATAACTTTGTCTCAAGCAACTTGAGAAATGTTTTTCCCTATATATATATATATATATATATATATATATATATATATATATATATATATAGGGTCAGGATCATTTTACAACCAGTGTAAGTTACACTTTTAATCTTGTCCACTTATATCTAAGGCTCAATTTTTTTAGTAATGTGAGCCATTGGATACAAGTGGATTAATGATCAAGATTGAGTGTAAGATTTTTAACTCTTATACTGGTGTAAGAATATCATGCCTTATGTATATATGAAATGTTATATTTACAACTTATTTTCGGTTACAACTTCTTATAACCGTATCTTAACTGTTGATTTTCTGTCAATAAACGGTTATGATTTTCACAAATTAAATTTATTAATTAATTATTAATTCACAATAAATGACAACCGTTGATTGACAAGATTAAAATATAATTGTAAGGGTTTATAAACTATTTAGATTCCGTATATATATAAAACATTATCCGCCTTTTTTTTTTACAACGTTATCCGATTTGCCGCCTTTTTTTTACAACATTATCCGATTACCGTCACTGCCCACAGCACTATTCCATTCCACTGGCACTGCTATCTTGGGTTTCACTCTGGTTTGTCGAAGTAAATTAAAAAGAATAATCATTTTTTTTATAAATCACAAATATTTTACATGAAAGACAATTTTGTTCCGGGTAGGATCTAAGATTAAAATTTTAAATTTTTTTAAAAATAAAATGAGAAATGATCGAATACATGCTCTCACTACATCTACTCTGCTCTTTTGTAGCAAGTGAACTACCATCATTTGGTAGAATAATCATATTAATTTTAACACCAAAAGTCCAAAACTAAAGTATTTACAAAAAAAACAATTAATGCTCTTTAGTATTTCTCAATTTCAATTAAAACCATTAATGTGTCAATATTGTGTTTTCAGCTACAAATGCTAGCTACAATATATATATATATATATATATATATATATATATATAGGTTCACTTTTTCTGCAGTTATAAATTATCTGCAGAAAGTCTAATACGACGTTGGTTTGGGGCGAAAATCATGGTGTTTTTATAATTTTAATTTATTTCAGGGTTATAATAATCTTTATATTTATAATTTTTTAATATTTCAATACCAAAACGACGTCGTTTTGGAAATAAATGCAGATAACTTATCTGTATTAACTGCATAAATATTTTTCCCATATATATATATATATATATATGAGTTTCATTTTTTCCATATTGCTGAAGAAAAAAAATCTCCAACAACACATTATAACTATATATTATGGATAGTACATAGTTATATGAGTAAAATTATTTTTCTCTCCACCACATCAGCCGACAATGTCCGAGAAAAAAAAATTAAGGAGTTTTAATATTATAACTATGTACTACGGGTAGTATATAATTATATTTTTTGTTGTAAAGTTTTTTTTAGCAACATAAGAAAAAAAAATTTATATATATATACATATATATATATATATATATATATATATATATAACATAAAAAAATAACCAAGATGGTTCAAGGAATTTGTTCTCACCCTTACTAAAAAGATTTCGAATTTGAATTGTAAAAATTAAGGGAAAAAGGTGTGTCATTTTAAATGACACATCTTATATCCTTTCACTCTTACAAAGAGGTGGGACAACACTTTTTAAACTTTTTTCACCCATTCTCTCTCCCATGATTTATCTCTTTCTCTCACTTAAAATGACACAACTTTATATCCTTCAAAATGATACACATTTTCCCCAATAATTAATGAACCGGTAGATATATGAAATAATAATAATTTTACTATTATTATTTTTAAAATTAAAAAAAATTATGAGTAAAATATTTTTTGAGTACTCAACAAATATCACAGGACCAATTTAATTCATTAGAAGAAAAAAATATTGGCTCGTGATTTTTCTGAAATTTAAAATAGACCCATGTTAGTATTTGAGGAACTAAGGTATAACATGAATCTTCTTTGAATTTTAGAGAGACCGTAATTTCAATTAATTGGATCTATTTTGAATTTTAGAAAAACCACAAGTCGATTTTTTTAAGGGATTAATATAACCCTCATAATATTTGCTGACTATGAAGCATTGACACTTCAAAAACCCCGACGTGTCATGTCCGACACTTCCCGACACTCTCCGACACTCCCCGACACTTAAACACGCATTGTAGAAACTCAAAAAAAGTTCAAAAGTTGCGTTGCATTGCATTTTTAGTTCTAACTATTAGATTCGTTGAATTACTATTACCATTTTACGAAATTTAATATAAATATTTGTGATATCTTATGTTTCTTTGTAAAATTAATGAGTTATTATAAGTTTAGCTTTTTTTTGTTAAATTATTGAATATTAAATATAATATACACAACATAAATTAAAAATATGGCTAAAATATAAGTTACCTCCTTGAACTTTGACCATGTTTCAAATTATTCCCTTGTACTTTTTATTGTTTCAATTAATCCCCTATCCGTTATAATTATTTCAAATCATTAATTTTGTTAAAAATTTTACAAACTCTGTTAAACCTCCTCACATGCCCTAAGCCCCAAATCTCATAAATTTCTTCTCTCTTCTCTTTTACGTTCTGACATCTCTTATTACAATTTTCTTAGGATCTTTATGGAAATGACTAAAAAGTGTTACATTATTTAGATTATAGAAAGACTGAAATGACCCTTGAACGGTCAATCAGCCCTTTCAACCAATGTTATTAAAATCGGCCCGGTCATTGACCCGTTCGAGGTACTGGGTCACTGGTTCAACCAGTAAGTCATGGTTCAATCGCTTGACCCGGTAATTATATATAATTTTATAATTTATATTAAAAAAATATAAACATACTCAAATATCTAAAAAAAAATAAAAATTTCAAATATTTTAATATAAAAAATAATAAATCACATATTATTATCTAATAAAGGATCAAACAAAAATATAACGATCATGATACAGGGCTTTAGGTTTAAAAACGACATCTAACTATAAATCAAATCAAAATTTTCTATATAGTGCATAATTGAGATGATATGAATGTTGTAGGAACATAACTTATGTAAGTCAATAAGTAAAAAAATATTCAAATATGTTCATTATGATTTTTTTTTTGTAAAAAATAAATAATTTGAATTTTTTTATTTTTTGGGACTGGGCCGGGTCACCAGTCTTCATGAAAACTGGTCGGATCGGACTGGGTCACACCGGTTCTGATGCATGGCCGGTCCGTTACTTCATCCGGACCGGTTATATAACCGGTTTACCGTTTCCCGGGTCAACCCGACCGAGTCGATCCAGTTTTAATAACATTGCTTTCAACCCATAAACAAAGGAGGAAGATGAAGTTAGCAGCTTCCCAAGGGATAAATTTTTAGTCGTATTTCATACTATACCCATTTAAATTATAACACATCGACTTAGGTGACATTAGAAATAAATAAGTTGTTAAGAAAATGAGTATAATTACACTTATAAGGTGAGTCCATGTACTGTTATTTAAGTGGGTGTAGTGACTAAAAATTTATTGCCTTCTATTGCAATCCTTGAATTTCAAGAAGGTAAACAATCTGGTGCAGAACCCACCAGATGTTACTGGTGCTTGTTGCTCGAGAGGATCCATAAGTTTGCTTTTTCACCTAATTCTTCAAATGAATCCACTAGGTTTTGAAGCCTTGCCACAAATTCAATCAGAAGCGATGTAAATGTCGTTAGAGATAGTTCACTAGCACTTTCAAAAGTTTTTAATTCTTCCTCTTTTGCCGCAGCATCCTCTTTCTGGTAAATAGAGTAGGCCAAGATATCTGTTTCCTGAACATGTTTTTAGAGGAAACATGTGCAGGCAAAGCAGTCTTTACAAAGAAAATTGTAACAAAAGATGATAGAACTTAAAAGAAAAGAGAGAATTTTTTTTGAAATTTGGACGTAACATATAAGAGGAGATTTAACGGAGTTTATAAATTTTTTAAAAGAAACGTTAACTTAAAACAATTATAAAGTACATGGGGTTAATTAAAACAATTAAAAGTATAAATAGATAATTTAAAACAAGATCAAAGTTCAAGGGATAACTTATATTTTAGCCTAAAAATATTATTCAATATTAAAACGAGTTTTAACATGTCAAAATTTAATTTTTTTTAGAATTAATATATCAAAATCTCGTGTGACATCGTGTCTATATAAGTGCTATTATCCAAAAAATACATTTTAAGTGGAAGAATATATCTGACAGTCTGGACGATATTATTAATATACAACTGAATAATACAGCCCAACGGGTGCAGCTCAGTTGGTAATTTGGCGCTGAGTTAGTGGGGTTGAATATGTGTTCGATTCCTGCTGAATGCATTCTTGGGGAGAGGCTGAACCTTTAGCCATCACTGCTCCCCGCACTCCGGATTAGCACCAAATCGAAAATAAAAATAAAAATAAAAATAAAAATAAAGCTGGCTATTTCCCAAACGACCACCCAAAAAAAAAAAAAAAACAATAAAGCAAGCTGTAAACAGATTCAAACATTGTTGGTACGGTTGTTCCACCCAATGGGAATGCCAGTAACAACTCCATTGGAAGAATCATTGACACCGGTCTTCAACCCACAAGAACCACAGATAATCTTCTCGGGTGCGGGCGGCGCCACCACCCTGACAGAGAAATTGATGATCCCATTTCTCAGGCCATCAAAGTCCCTCAACCTATAACTCAAGAACTGTAAGCAATTATCAGGCACGAAACCACCTAGGAAATCCGAAAGCGCAATTCTCGCCACACCAACGTCTTTGATTACTCCCATTTGAGTTTTGCACTTCACCTCGAACGTTATTGACCTTGCATGCGTGGCCAAGTTCACCAAGAACTTCTCGTTCCATGAATGGAATCCGCCGCCGCAATCAGCCTTCATCGCCGTCGTGTGGCTCGTTATGGACTCCGCGCGAACCACCACGTACACGTTCTTCGTCGGCAGCTTTCCGTTAACGCGGAGATCCTCCGCTGATAAAACCGTCACCTCTAGTGTTCTTGATTTTGTTGCTTCCATCTTGTTTAAAAAAAAAAAAAAAAAAAAAAACACAAACAAAAAAGATTCGAAGTTGAAACGTTTGAAAAAGCTAGGTGAGTTTTCAGGAGCGAATAACTTTGAATCATGATTATAAATAGCTATTGTGGTTAACGTTGAAGTTTGCAACTTTGCATTGTCTTTATTTAATGGGAAATGTGTTTATATCCTAAATATGATAACTTATATTTTTTCACTTTTACTTTAATAAAGATGTGAGACTCACATTTTTATTTTTTTTGTCAACTCTCTCTTCTTTTATCTATTTCTTTATATTTTTTAAAATGACACAACTTTACATCTTTAAAATGATACACATTTTTCCCTTATTTAATTAAAGGTAAAAGTTCTGATTTTGCTTCTAAATCACCTGTCTCTTTGTAAAAAAATTTTATCACGTATAGTTCTATGATTTATAAAAAGTAAAAAACTAAGGAGTGTATGTAATAAAAAATGCACTTTTTTGCAAAATATAAGAATATATGTGATAAAAAATATCATAGAAATATATTTGATTATGGAATAAATCACAGGACAATAGTAAAATTTTCCCTTAATTAAATGACGCGTGACATCACGAGAGCATTCAATTGATCTTTAAAAAGATTATAGTAATATTATAGGTAATAAAAAATAAATTTATTTATTTCATGTTGCGTGATGTAACATAAATAAAATAAATGGGTCTACTACTTTTAAAAATAAAATAAAATAATGAATTTTATTATTTTGTCTCTGTTGTATGTTATGATTATCACATGAAACAATTATTTTCATAAAAAATAATATTTGCTTTGATTGGTTTCGAGGCAGAGAGATATAAACAACCCGTGGTTGTTGACTGTCCAGCTTCGAAAAAAATAATAATAAATGACTATACGTTAGCACGCAGAAAATTAATATTATTAAGATAGTATTGTTTTTTCCCGTGACAAATATTGAGAGAAAAATTTGTTATAATAATGATTAATATGATTTCAAAATACATCGTGTTTGTTCAAAGCTATGTAGCACCGATATTGACATAAGACACGATATTCTGACATGTTAATTTTAAAAAATGTTAAATTTTGACACGTTATGACACGTTTTGATATTTAATAATATTTCTAATTTATGTTGTGTATATTATATTTAATATTCAATAATTTAACAAAAAAAAATTAAACTTATAATATTCATTAATTTTGCAAAGAAACGTAAGATATCACAAATACTTATGTTAAATTCAATAAAATAGTAATAATAATCCAACGAATCTAATAGTTAAAACTAAAAATGCAATGCAACGCAACCTTTGAACTTTTTTTTTTAGTTTCTACATCGCGTGTTGAAGTGTCAGGGAATGTCAGAGTGTCTGAGAGTGTCGAAAAGTATCAAACACGACACATCAAAATTTTTGAAATGTAATGCTTCATAAGTTCAAAGTACATAGATTATATAATAAATCCATTAAAGTAATGGACATATTCTCTCTATTTGACCATCCTCTAAATTCCATTTGAAACCGAATCCCCAATAATTTTATTATGTTCATTTTTATAAATGTCAAATAAATTTTTAAATTAAAAAAATAATGTTAAGAAGCCAGTTTTGAAAAAAAAAATGACTGCTCATGCAAAATAAAATAAAACCATCCTATTATGAAAATAATATAAAAAAAAGTATGTGTTTTGAGAAATTGAAAATAAAAAATAATTTCAGCAAAAAATCCACCTTAACGCAATTAAGTTTAGTATTATATAATCTAATCCTTTGTTATCTAATTAACAAGAAATATTAATCTTTATTTATTAAATTAAATTCAATTAATTTTAAACTGAATCAAATTTTTTTTTTGAATGACAGGCATTATTTTTAGTTTTTAATTATTATTTCTTAAATTTAAATATACTTATTTACCTTTTAAAGTTATAAATATCTTATCTCTTCTGATTTTTTTTTGTTAAATTATAAAGTTTCAATATACTATCGATTTATGTTATTATTCAATCTTGTTTGACATTTGTTTTTAGTATAAGTTGATAATTTATTTGATGAATTTGACTATGTTAAAAATACTAAAATGTTGAATTCATTAATTACTATGATAACAGGGATAAGATCAATTTAAACCTATATAAAAATAATAAATGTTATGCTCAATCTTAGTCCTTAATTTCTTTCAATCAAATTACAGTAATTAATTAAGTTATTTTCATTAATAATTATTAATTTCCAATAAGTGTAAAATTTTATGTAAAAAGATCTTGCTCCATGATAATATATTATTATGTATTAATACAAAATTTTCATAGACAAAATATATTAAAATATAATTCTTTACAACAAATCGTATTAATACATACTAGTTATAACTTATACGTGATTTTGATATTTTGTTTCTTGTTAGTTAGGTGTTGAGCGGCGCGGATTGTTTGATCAGCTACTAAATAATTTTTGAGAAAAAATTATTTGATGTGGCATGAGATAATTCATGTTACAAAGATAAAATAGTGGGGTCTAATATTGGTATTATTATTTTTAAAAATAGTGGATCCTATTATATTATCTTTGTTGTACGAGATAATTATCTCATCCAACATAAGATAAATAGATCCCATATTTTTATTTAGAGTAATATATTTTTTGGTCTTCAACAAATTTTACGATACCCGCTTTAGTTTCTAGCAAATAAAAAGAATATCCGTGGTTCCGAAAAAATTTAAAACGGACTCATTTTAGTCCTTTCGAGGGACTATCGTGGGATGTTTTTAATTTGTGAGGGTCACGATTTTAACTAATGGGTTTACTTTTCATTTTTTATGGTCCACGAATAGATTTTTTATTTATTAGGAACTAAAGTGAGCATCATAAAATTTGTTAAGGATAAAAAAAAAGGGAAAAATGTGTATAATTTTGAAGGATGTAAAGTTGTGTCATTTTAAGAGAGAGAAAGAGATAGATAAAGGAGGAGAGAGAGTTGACAAAAAAAAATAAAGTTGTGGGTCCCACCTCTTTGTGAGAGTGAAATGATGTAAGTTGTGTAATTTAAAAGTATAGACACTTTTCCCAAAAAAAAATGTTTACTATTTATCAATAAATGATTATATTTTGCGTGGAACACGAGAAATAATATAAATGTTGACGGTAGTTGTAGTTGAATGTCAGATGCTTAGAATCGCGTGGAAGTTCAATTTTGGCGTGTTGTCAGGTAGGACTCGTATTCCAAAACACGCTGCTGCCATTTGAAGGGTTGCCATAGTAATTTCCTTTTGTTGAAGATTCTTGTTTTCTTACCAGAAACCAAATAGAAATAATGAGCCTGTTAGTTGGATGAGAACGAGAAAGAATTTAGTAATTGGGTGTTTGGAATGAAGAATTTAAGGGGGTGTTTGGTTCAAGTTTTTGGAGAGGATTACCGGTAATCCTTCTTTGGTAAATGTAATTATCACGTTTGGTAGAAGGAATAAATTACGATTCTCGGATATCCAAGGATTACCGGTAATTTGATTTATAAAGAAAAATCACTATTCAGATTACCAAAAATAATATGGTAATTCGGAATACCAATCAGAATACCAAGTAAAGGGAAAGCACAACAATAAATTTTGAGACAAAAATACTCCAATACACATAAAAATCTAGACCCAATCTATCAATTACAAAAATAAAAATTGTTTGGGGTTATTTTTGTAAAATAACCTCATATTCCAAGTCATATTTCGTTCTAAACCAAATATGGAATAAGTAATTTTTACCCAATATTCCCGGTAATATTTTGGCGAACCAAACACATCTTTCGTAAGATTCCAAGTAAACTCAATTTCTACTGAATTCCCATTAATCATGATTTCCGGTCACCAAAAAATTTCTCTTGTACCAAACACACCCTAATAAGAATGTTGGAAAAGTAGGGTAGGTAAAATATGTTATCCATATTTGGTATGTTTTGAAGTTATAAAAAATTAGTATATTATTTTTTCTACGACTTTTGTTTTGAACTAGACAATGAAAAATAAAACAGTAGTTTGAAGTGTGGTATTTTTTAAATCCAAGAATGGAGAAACACCTTTTACTATTTGTAGACAAAAATATTCTAAAAAAGTCTATATCAAGTACAACTTGTTTGAAAAAATCTATAATGAGTAATTTCGTAATTTCATGACAAATTCTCATCAATATTTCATCATCAACCAAACAATGCATTAGTAAAAATAACTCAACTTTTCCGGTAAATTTTTTTGCCTACGAAACACTTTTTTGTAACTTACCCGGACACAAAAATTTCTCATCATATTTCGAGAATTTTTTTTTTCAATAATAAAAAATTTCTCCCACGGTAAATTTTTTGGGTCCGTATGAGTCAACTTTGAATCTCCTAAATTTCCCCAGTAACATACTCGGTAAATTTTTTTTTTCTTTCCCACGGTAAGTTCGTCAATATGACTCAACTTTGAATGTCCTAAGATTCTTGGGTCTCCTTTATCCATTACAGTAGTATCTAGGCTTTGGATAGTTTCTTAGCTTTTGAGTTGGACATGACTCATTGCGTGTACAATGAATCAAAATTAAAGTATGCAAATTGCGTCTTTAGTGTGAATTGCTTAACATTTTGGTCTTTAGAATTGGGAGATGTAAATTAGGATAGAAATTTAGGTGGTGTTTGGTTGGGTGGATTTTGAAATAACCTCATGCAAATGAAGTTGGCATTTCTCAAAGCATGCATTTGGTTGATAGTGAATTGAGTGAACACCCAGGCAAGGTCGATGTCTACCATTCTCATTTTTGTACCGTTTTCCTATGTTTCCGCACTGTTCAGAATCCATTGTAGAAGGTGATTTTTTAAAGAAACCCGGCTAAACCACGTAGGGCCCACAACATATGAGACCACAATACCCTCTGATATTATCTTGATTGTGCAGTCAGCAGTGAAGTTTGAGTAGCGGGGGACAAACAATGACCGATTGCAATGAGTTGAAAAAGGACAAAAATAGATTTAA